AGTTGATGGCCACATACTTAAAACGAAACAAAGTAGGCACATAGAGGAGCCAATGATTCCAGCAATAAGAGAGGTATTAAGTTAATCTGATGTTGGAGCAGGTTTAATCGTGTTGGGCATGCATGTTCTATGAGCATCGAAGCAAGAGAGGATCGGTTCAGGCAACACAGTCTTGTAATTTAGCCCAAGAGAACCGGTTGAGTGTCTTTTTTGGCCCTGGAGGCATTTTTAACAGGTGAAATGCTTCTTCACAAATATATTGATCCTCACAGTAAAGCCATCCTTGTTCATGCAATTGCACTCCAAGTTGACAAGTATTTTGCACATCACATTGGTTGTTGGTGCTGGTGTCCTCATGGCTTCCAATTGTCTGCCAGCTTGCTATATAAAAGGATGGGTTATGTGAAAAAGCAAAGGCAGCTCATTTTGGGACCACCTGCTAAAGCCATTTACAAGTCTGGAAAAGTCATCAGCCGCTCCGTTTTGCCAAGTTGTTCTTTCTCCTCAATCAAGTCTTATCTGTGCTCAACATCCTAGCTGAACACTGTTTTGATTTGCTCGTGTTGTGATCCTTTTCCTTGGAACAAAGTGAGCAAAGTGGAGAGTGTTTACCCTGTTCTATTTCTCGGGGTGCTTTCTTCAACATGTTGAAAACATCCATCCATGCATCCTTCCATCCTTTATCGATTCCGCTTATCTTCACGAGGGTTGCGGGCGTGCTGGTGCCTATCCCAGCTGTACACCCTGAACTGGTTGCCAGCCATTCGCAGAGGACACATAGATGAACAACCATTCCCACTCACAATTATACCTAGGGACAATTTAGAGTCCTCCATTAACCTGTCATGCACGTTTTTGGAATGTGGAAGGAAACCGGAGTCCCCGGAGAAAACCCATGCAGGCACAGGGAGAACACGCAAACTCCACACAAGAAGGCCGGAGCCGGGATCGAACCCGACACCTCCGCACTGTGAGGCAGACGTGCATGCTGAATTAAATTCTAAACTGTCAATTGGTTTGAATGTCAGTGAGAATAGTTGTGTGACTGTATGCGCTTTCCGAATGAGTAACAATTAGACCAGGGCGCACCATGGCTTTCACGCAAAGTCATCTGGGGAAAACGTCCAGTGACACATGACCCTAATGAAGACAAGTGATAATGATGATGAATGAATTGAATAAGTGTTGCCAGCAGAAAAATCTAAACACACACACAGAGTGAATCATTTGCTATTGACGAAGTGAGCTCTAGTGAGGTACAATGAGATTTGCTTAAAATGTTTCTGTGCAATTTCTGAAACTTATTTCGGGTAATATTCTATATTATGTGACAATTGGGGCATTCAGATTTTGAGCTTCCACTGTGTCATGATGTGGCAGGAAGTGCAAAGCAGGAAGTGTTAGTCACTTCACCAAAGTACATTTGCTCTTGTTTTGTAATGTGATAGTAGGTCAGCATTACACTAAAATCACTAAAAGGAGGGAAAAAAATGTTACCACTTGGCATCTGAGACAGAATTAATCGTACACTATCATCTTTTAGACCAGGAAATCCCATAAAAAAAATAAAATTTAAAAAAAAAAAAAACAACAACAACAGTGAGTCACTCATGAAGCCAAAGGAGGGGTAGAGGACTTCATCATGAAGCCTTCATCCCCCCTGTGGTGCACTGTGTTTGCTGCTGTATTCGTAACGTGAGGAGGAGAGGCGGAAGACGTCAAGCTGAGGACAAAACAAAGAGTGCGCTTATGCCGTCACAAGGGTAAAGTTTAGAGGGGGGTTGTTGGCATCTGACTATACCCCAAGGTGGTTTGGGGGCTCACTGGTCGCACTGGTTTCAAGCCACTCAAAGGCACCCGGTCATTGTGTGCAGCCGATCTAAACAACAACCTGAATAACAGGATGAGAAACCAAAGGCCTGTTAAGTGATAAGTGATGACAAAAAAAAAGAGCTTGAAATTGTCACCATATTTTTTTACAATCCTGCACAAAAGAATCAAACTACACGGGAGAGCATGTAAACTTCACAAAGGAAGGCCTGAATTCGAACCCAGATGTGTTAACAGGAATGTGTGCAGTTTCATGTAATTTGAGCCCTCATCACTTGAGTCCTCGAGAAATACAAACATGATAGAAGAGCCAAATTCACTATTGCGCAAAACGACACATTCAAGTAAACAAGAAGTAGAGCCTCGACCTCTGTTGAAGCAGAACAATGCTAAACCTGCCCTTCTTACTTGTTTGATTAACCCCTTCATACACCAATCATGATAACCTGAAACCTGATAACATGAAAAACTGTCCACTGTAGTAACAGCTGTCCCTGAGAGGGTTAAAAAAATGTTACATATATAAGATAAGATAAGATAACCTTTATTTTTCCCACATTGGGGAAATTTGCAGTCTACAGCAGCAAAATTGGGGGTAGTGAAGAGAAAAATAAAAATAAATAAATAAAAAATAAAGACTTGTTCACTAACTAACTCACAAACAAACTAACTAACTAACTATTTTGTTGGTTAATGACGAATTGACTAACTAACTGATCAAAGGTAACTTTTCACACTCGGGATGGAATAAAAAGATGGCGTATACTGTACTATTAAATGCCTTCAGCCTCCATTAAGCTGAAAGTAGATAACCTCTAAGTATATTTTATTAGCTCACTCTTATTTCAGTCAGCCTTGCAGGCTGTGCATGTCATCTCCTGCTGCTGCGGGCAGGATGTGGTTGCGTTCGCGCATTGCAAAGTCACCCATCAACTGTCATGTGTCTCCTTTTATAGTAAAAGCCTCGCTCTTGATCACTCTGAGTGGATGAGCGCGCGTCTCCATGTTGACTGGGAGGCGGGGAGTCCAAGAACGCCATTCACTGCGTGATCAAATTAGAACTAATTGTTTGAAAGCTCCAGGTCACTTGCAATTGTCTGAATGAGTTTTTGTGGAGCGATGGGGTTGCCCACTGTGTAATGCTTGGGTTAACAAGGCCTACGACATTATTGGCAACTTGCATTTCCAAAGACACAGACATGAATATGAGCTATGTTACATAGCAGATGCATTAGATGCTTTGGTATTGAACACTTTTAAAATACAATTCGGAAACAGCACACAATCGATGGCCGCCTCGCCTTGCAATTCAGCAAATTACCCGAACCAAATTGATTGAAAAGTATAGTGTCGACACGTTTTTGTTGCTGTTATAGAGCCACCTGCTTTTCACTGGACAGAGACGATACGCAAAGAAAGTGAAGTGAGGCAAACCACAAGTTCCCTGTCAAGAAATACAACTGCAACACCAGATGAAATATATCATCGCATCAAGCCATATTTACATGGAAATATTACAAAGACGAGAAACTATAAAATAAAATAAATGTAAATGCTGTAACAGATCAACTAAGCGCCAGTGTAATAATTTAGGATATTTTTTGCCAAAGTTTGCAACCCATATGACAAAACATTGCGACCTTTACTCTGGCCAACGACTGGTTCCTTTCTTGAATGTTGGCACAGGTCTCCCCCTAGTGGTTAAAAATTAGCTGTGCAATTAAGGTGCTCAAAGCAAAAGCATAATAAGCAAACAAATTGGACACAACATCTTTGCTTCATTCATCAGCTAAGTTTCGAAATGGCTACTCACACTTTTAATACTATAATAAGGAAAGAGAGTACAGTATTATATCATAATCAATACATTTTTTGTTACACCTTGTCAAACTATCAAGACTCATTTTAATGTTTCTCATTAAAACTAAGTGAAATATCAGCAGTCGCTAAAAAAAAAAAATAAATAAAGGATTTTGATGGTTTCGACAGCTTTACCACTCCGAGTTACCATTGAGGTGAACTTGAAATTAGGGGTCCAGATGTCTTTTAGCAGCCTTTAAATCACACTGGAGCCACACTTGAGGTATTGTGGACCAAGCCACAAAAGCCCACGTGGCCACTTCAGCTACACGTTGAGATTTTTCACATAACCTTGAATTGCTTCCATGCAACCAAATATCCACGATCGCCACAATTTATATTTGTGGTGATGTTTAAATACCTTGTTCTATTAATGTATTTAAAAAAAAAAACTCCAAAAATGAATGGTTTGAGATTGATTTTTGATCTTGAATGTTCAAGGTTGGTGAGATTCAATGATGATGATGAAAAATGTGTTCATATTTGATTTTTTTATGTGCCAAAATTACTGTAAATAGATGAGATCAATGAAACAGATCAATCATTCATCAGTCACCTTATTTAAATATTTGACATAATTTATTTCCATTTTTTAAATAATTAGTGTATAATGTAATCCATCCGTCCATTTTCTAATCCGCTTATCTTCACAAGTGTTACGGGCATGCTAAAGCCTATACCAGCTCTCTTCAGGCAGTAGATGGGGGGGACACACTGAACTGGTTGCCAGCCAATCGCAAGGCCTAAATAGATAAACAACCATCCGTGCTCACGATCACACCTAGGGACAATTTAGAGTGTTCGATTAACCTGCCATGCATGTTTAAATGTGTGTGCGTCTAACTCTGCCTCGATCAATTCAAAATCGCGTTACCCCACCTGCGCCACAACTTAGACCTGCTTTTAACTACTCTAAAATGTAGTGTACTTTTGGTCACGAAAATGGCGCATTGATATTAAGCACACACACACACACACACACACACACACACACACACACACACACACACACACACACACACACATACACACACTACAGGGAGAGAGAGGTTTTTAATACTGTAAAACCATCAGGGATCCAGTGCAAGTCAAACAGACGTTGATGGCTATGAAACAATTGCAATACCCTATTTAACATGACTATGTGGTTTACAACAACTATGATGATTGAAGTTGGTCACCAAATCACCATCAAAGCTTAAAGCCATCCATCTCTGAGGTTAGAGAGGACCAGATGTTGACATGTGAGAGCCCATTCAACACTTTTAGGACTGACGCCTGCATGTGTGTGTGTGTGTGTGTGTGTGTGTGTGTGTGTGTGTGTGTGTGTGAGGTTGCACTTCAACAATTAACTGCTACAGCTCATGACATTATCGAGCGCAAACACAGGTCAGGTAAATGCATGTAACATTCTCACATGTAAGACAAAAACTGGATCAATTTGACTTGCTTTCACCCTTTTTGCAGACCTGCAGTAGGAATTCCATGTGGTATGTGTATTGGGTTTCAGTGAGGAGACATAATCCCCACCCCGCTTACAAACCCACCCCTACTTCACAACCAACCTAGTCCTCCTCACTTCTTTATTTCCAGAGAGGAAAGAGCAAATAATGGGACACTGAGTGGGGCTGCAGCTTTGAAGAGAAAGAGCTTTTTTTTTCTTCCCTAGAGGAGTTCTTGTTGTGGAAGTAAATGCAACACAGCGTACATTGTGCAAATAGAAAAGCTTCAGATCTGCGGGAGCAACTGAGAGAACGTCTTAACAGCAACACAAAAGCCAGTGTGGAGGAAGAGAACTCCCAGCGATGAATACAACCACTGTCGTCAGTGCGCTTTTGTTCCTGCTCCACATTTCATCTCAAGATGCAGAAGCACATAGGTGAGTTGCAACCATTATAAGCATTTCATCGCTGTCCTGAGAAAAACACGGAGGTCCATTTTTGCCATTTTTACATGAATGGGGTACCTGCGTTTCAGACATCCCATTGGTGTATTTTTTTTTAAATGACAAAAGTTGACATACGTGTTTTTCACAGGACAGTGACGATTTGTGGGTTCAGTGTGTTTTTTGATTTTTTTTTTAAACGGCATTCATTTAACTCTCATGCTATATAATCAACGTAATGGCATGTTTCACTGTTCCAACTGTCGGTTAAATGGGGCAACGGAAGTTAATACCTAAAGAGCACCTGTCACTCTCCCGTGGGCTATTTTGGTTGATTTAACTCCTGTCTCAGATTCCTCAAGTTCCGCCGGAGCCGAGACCCCTTTTAGGGGGTTGCTGCCCGACACCCCAAAACTGAGCCTGATGGATGTATAAACATGGCGACTCATCTCATTATGCATTCCTAAAATGTTGAATCTCTGTGTAAAAAGACTTCATTTACTTCAGGTTCTAAATATACACATGTAATGTCACCTCTTTGCACTGTACGTTATTCTAAATGTGATGCATGCTGATGCCAGAACAGAAGTGGAGGAAGATGCCGGCCCACAAAAACAGACTACACTAGAATATCACTCATTGGAGCGTACAGACCTCCGCCAAGACCATAAAATCATGGCGCGCATTAATCGAGTTTGTTTCATCCATCTGTTTGTCAGTTAAGATCCGAGCTCTTAGCTCATGGAGGATGACGAGAAGTTGCAAACGGATGGCCAGGATGTCCTTTTATGTAGCATGCCGCGGAGGGTCCCATTGACGGCTTGCCTTGGCATCATCAAAAGTTTTATAAGTGGCTCGAAATGGCAAAAGTGAAAATAAACTCCACTATCAACGCCTTGACCAAGATCCTCGACAATATTTCATGGCGGGCGCGGTGACATGAAATTCAGTTCAGTCGTATATTTTATGTGTAATCGTGCAACCACTCCAACAAAAGTAACAACAAAAGGGTTGCAAGAAGAGTGCATTCATACCTCCGGCCACCGAGGCGGAACCTGTACCACCTGTCATACTGTCGCTGGCAGGAACAACTACAACCTTCAGCTGGTCACTTTAATCAATGACATTTATGAAAAATTCGAACTTCGCAGCAAAATCTAGTTTGGCTTGTAAAGTAGAAATATTCAAACACAACCATGCGCTCTGTGCTCGGTGGAGGTAATTAGGTGTTGCGTAAGGTGTCAAGGTGCAGGAAGCAGGAAGAGTCTGATTAGGGTGATTTTCAACATCCTGTCAACTGACTGTTGCTCTTTGGGGAATCCCACTTTTATGACCAAAGGAAGCATGGAAGGAGGTTTGACTATGTTTTCATACCACTACTATAATTAGCATGAAAAAAAAATGCCCATTTGTTAGACTAAGGATGTGTTGGTATCCTTCTTTTCTTCCCTTTTTTTTCTCCTTTGGACATGCTTACACGGACCACCAAGCTACACGTGTTTCAATGTTAAGTGGCTCGAAATGGCAAAAGTGAAAATAAACTCCACTATCAACACCTTGACCAAGATCCTCGACAATATTTCATGGCGGGCGCGGTGACATGAAATTCAGTTCAGTCGTATATTTTATGTGTAATCGTGCAACCACTCCAACAAACTGACAACAAAACGGCACTCAGTAGAGTGCATTCATACCTCCGGCCACCGAGGCGGAACCTGTACCACCTGTCATACTGTCGCTGGCAGGAACAACTACAACCTTCAGCTGGTCACTTTAATCAATGACATTTATGAAAAATTCGAACTTCGCAGCAAAATCTAGTTTGGCTTGTAAAGTAGAAATATTCAAACACAACCATGCGCTCTGTGCTCGGTGGAGGTAATTAGGTGTTGCGTAAGGTGTCAAGGTGCAGGAAGCAGGAAGAGTCTGATTAGGGTGATTTTCAACATCCTGTCAACTGACTGTTGCTCTTTGGGGAATCCCACTTTTATGACCAAAGGAAGCATGGAAGGAGGTTTGACTATGTTTTCATACCACTACTATAATTAGCATGAAAAAAAAAATGCCCATTTGTTAGACTAAGGATGTGTTGGTATCCTTCTTTTCTTCCCTTTTTTTTCTCCTTTGGACATGCTTACATGGACCACCAAGTTACACGTGTTTCAGTGTGAAGAGAACATTTTGCTCCAAGCAACAAATGCAAACTCTCCATGTGAGCTATAAATATTGGTCGGACAATAAGATTACACGTCTTACCTTGAACCTCTCTGCTCTTCTACAAAGGCAGCTCAGACAAGTTTCTACTGGAAACCAACCAGGTGTGTGTCGCTATGGCAGGAGGCTGGAGTGTTGCTACGGCTGGAAGAAAAATCGCAGAGGCCAGTGTGAGGGTAAGAAAGGTCAAGGTTGATTGATTCATTAAAATTCATTATTCATTCATTAAAAAAAAATAAAAATAATGGGATATCGAATTATCATTGTGTCTTGTCTTAATATCTGCTACATTGGATGCATTTATGAGTACTGATCTCCTAATCGTAATCAAAAGTGGATTGGGCTTTGTTGCCTTTGCTCTTCCTGAATCTTACAAAATCCACATCTTTCCACTTTGTGGGACTGTCTGAAATAATGGGATATCGAATTATCATTGTGTCTTGTCTTCATATCTGATACCGATCTCCTAATCATAATCAAAAGTGGATTGGGCTGTGTTGTCTTTGCTCTTCCTGAATCTTACAAAATCCACATCAAACAGAATCATACATTACGTCGAGAAATTTTGCACAACTGTATACTTTCCACTTTATGGGACCGTCTAGTAAAGACCAGTCTATGAACAAAGCGCGATTGTGCCTTTGTGAACAAGCAAGGGTTTGGATTTGGAATTTGGTATGGAAGAACTTAACCTCAACCACATCAAACCACAAAAAGAACCTTGTAACATGTAAAAGCCATCATTTTTGCTTTTTTCTTTGTCTCTTTTCCGAGTCACTTAACGGCACCGCCAGAGAATGGAGGAAACAAAGTTGATCCCATCTGTTTTCCAGTATTTTATATACGCACACCAGATGCTGCCACTGACGTTGTCGAGCATCTAATTATCTAACCATGGGATGCCTTGTCATTGTGTGAAAGCACACACAGTTGCTGCAACGTTCCACATCGCTAGGTTCTGTATTACAAAGTCACATTAATGCAGTATCTTCTGTTGCAAGTTTGCACCAACTCTGTGTCGAAGTGCTTATGGATCAAGTGATAGCCAGGCCATCTCTAAACTCCAATAAAAATCCTCAGACAAACTCTTAAGTCCAAGTCTCCAAGACTTATAGACTTATAGATCATTGTTGTACATCATACACACAAGTATGTGCAGTTTCTTAAAGGGGAAGTCAACCCCAAAATTTCTTGAAAATAATATGTTCTATGCGCCTCCACGAGTCTAAACGCAGTATTCTGATTTAATAATGCGTTTGTGGAAAATGAGTTCAGCAGCAGAATCTACCCGTTTTTAGCCGTCTCAGGGGGCGGCCATTTTGCCACGTTCCGTCAACTGAAAATGACATCACATTTGCTCAGGGCTCAGCTAACGACCAATCACGGCTCACCCGTTTTCTGAAGCCGACTACTAAGATTGATCTGCTTCTTCATGCTAAATGTTTTTTCCAGCTCAGTGTGAGCCAGGCTGCAAGCACGGCGAATGCGTTGGACCCAACAAATGCAAGTGCTTCCTGGGATACACTGGAAAAACATGCAACCAGGGTGAATATGCATTCTCGGTTATAACTTTTGGATTGAAAAGTGCTGCTTCCAGTTGACGGAATGGGAAAATATACTTTTTCCTCATTCGAAGACTTGAACGAATGTGGCTTGATCCCTCGTCCGTGTGAACATCGCTGCATGAACACCCATGGCAGTTACAAATGTTACTGCCTCAACGGATACACCTTGATGCCTGATGGATCTTGTGGCAGTGAGTATCTCCTAATAATCGTCTTTGCACATAATATATAAAATTTTCATTCAGGGATTTTGTGTATGTGTGTGTGTATGTGTGTGTGTGTGTTGCTGAACATGCATGTTAGATTCCAGGACCTGCTCGCTCGCTCATTGTCAGTATGGCTGCGAGGAAGTTCAGGGCGAGATTCGCTGCCTCTGCCCCTCTGTGGGACTGCAGCTGGCAGCAGATGAGAGGACTTGCGTAGGTGAGGAAAAAAAAGTGACTTTCAAAGAAACTGTTGCACAAGTACATTTGTCTAACATATGGCGCAATCAAAGACAGTAAGAGGTCGGAAAAGAAACTCGGGATGCAAAGAGAGGAAGGAATTGACCTTGGCTTGATTCCAATTCGTTGGGGATTGGGGGTTTATGCAAAGTCGACAACTCTATCAAGATTCCTTTATGCGGCTATTGCATGCTTGGCAGGTAAATCAGAGGGAGGCAATTAGGTTTGTGGTTCCAAAGCACGTTGTGGGCTGAAACAGAGACAATTTGGTGAGGGTACTACTAAAACATAGGGACGGAGACAAAGGAGTTGGAGGCATTTCAGATACCTGAGTGAGCCAACAATCATTTCAAAAATGCTGTACATCTTCATATTTCAGCCTATTTGCCATTGCTGACATTTACAAGGCCCTGTAAGACAGATGCACTCATAAGGGGAGGCATCTGGACAAAGAGAGCCTCACCTAGAGGCAAAATAGTTGTCTCGCTGGCTTTAGTTATACCAGCAGTTACTGGCATTATTTATGAACACATGCACACACTCATGCTCCATGTTATCCTACTCATAACTGACAAGGTTAAAATGTTCTCATCAAACGTACACATGAAAAACATGTCTGACTGCTTCGACAAGCTATAGATAGAATGCCTGTCCGTATGACATCAGTGTGGTTCTTCATCTCCATAAAGTCAGGTGATGAGCAGTCCAGGTTGGAGGTCACATTTCTCATTGTGCAGTTTTCTGGCATGGAGCAATCATGAAATAGAGCAGACAAGGATGAGAAATGTGACTTCTACGGCATTAGATTTTGGTACAGCTGTCTGACTCGGCCCATGATTTTTAGAAGTTGCAGTGCATCCGCATCAAAATTAAGAGGAAGAAACAATTTTTAACATGCAGTTGATACTCCTGGGGATGTAATTGTTACGATTGTTCTTGTGACTTGGCGTTATGTGCTTGATTTCCCCGCAGATATTGACGAATGTGCGACTGGAAGCAACCTGTGTCCATATAACAGGCAATGTGTGAACACATTCGGCAGCTATTTCTGCAAGTGCCGGGATGGATTTGATCTGAAATATGTAGATGGAAAATATGACTGTGTAGGTAAGGTATCCCTAAAATCATTCGGGACTCACCTCCGTGTTTATTTATGATCCTAAAGGTACAAAAGGCTTTTTTTTTCCCAATTTCCAGACCTTGACGAGTGTGCATCCAGCACCAACAAGTGCAGCCGTCAAGCTGTCTGTCTGAACACTCAAGGATCATACAAGTGCAGGTGCAAGTCAGGCTTCCGAGGCAATGGCTTTGAATGCTCCGGTGAGTTCCCAGACATGATATTCTAGACGGAGTTACAAAGCAACTAGTCTCACGGGTTTCATTTGATATGTCATAAATCTTCATGCAAAGTGTTCAACAACATATGTCTGTCTTTTTCTGACACTCTGCTGGACCGACAGACATTCTACAGCTGCATAGTTTTAGTTTAAGTATTAACATATAACCAGTCTGTCCGAGACTGATTTCCTGCACTCGGAGCCAGTAAGATTTTGCAGATGTTGGAAGGAGTGAGCCAGAGATTGTCAGCACACTTCAGTAAATATGTTAGTGTTTGGCAATTGAAGAAAAATGGCAAGATTCATTAGCCTTCGTCCAGGTGACGGTTACGTACACTAAAGTGATATCGATCGTCAGACAGAGGATCTTGATTGAAATAAAGGTGCTTTTATTTCTTATAGTCAAGCCGTTTTATCAGAGGTCATGGAATGGAAAGAAAGACAGGGCAGATCATGTCCTCAATGGTGAGACTGTGTGGAATTCGAGACGCTGCTTTCACTGCTACCTCCCTGCCCGGCAACTCCATTAACCGCCTGCTTCCTCGACTCTTTCCAAAAAGTCGTCTTCTTGACTTTGCTCGTGGCTGGTCATGTCGTCTCACAGCACATTATGTTTGAAATCAGGCCTGCAAACTGCTGCATGACCTTTGACCATATAACGTACAAATATTGGCGTGATTGAATGCTTTTGCCAACAGGTAACAAATCTGAATGACATTAGTATTATGATGTTTCAATTGCATGTTAGTCATTGCAAATATATGCAGTCTTGCCTTTTTGTTAATAGTAATACGCAAGGTATTCAGAAGATGCGCTGATGCATAACATTCTGGTGAAACACTGTCAGTTTGAAGTCCCACGCGCCTAATTTGGTTCCTGTCTTTGCCTATAGCCATACCAGACTCCGAAGAAAGGCCGGGACATCTGGGCGGTAAACTTGAGAATGAGAGAATCAAAAACATTATCCCTGAACCAGTTGCAACCCCGCGCACGAGAACACACCAGCAGCCATTTGACTATGCCGGAGAGATCCACACGGGCGATCCAACTGTGGAGACGCCAGTGGATGAGTTTCCCGAGGAAGAAGAAGAGGAAGAGGAAGAAGAAGAAGAGGAAGACAACCAGCTTAATCCAAGAGGAGATGTTTTCGGTAAGTGGCTTCTGCTCTGTGTAAATGGTAACGAGAAATCCATTTGTATCGCTTCATAGTACTCAAAGCACTCTAACACTGTGTCTCATTCAACTACTAGTGATGCAGCATCAAGAGTCACTACGGGTTAGGTATCTTGCTCAACAACACTTTGAGATGGTCATAACGGCTCAGGAGTGAAACCAAAACCTTCAGGGTGAAAGACCAGACGACCACCGGAGCGCCGCACATTCCAACAACGCTCTTAGTTTCATTGAATCATAGTACCCTAAAATCCTAAAATGCCTTCGATAGCACGCCCGGAATCATTCAGATACAATTCAAAATGCCAGGCCTCAGATCTCAGACCAAGGGAGACAGTCGTGTTCCTTTTTCTTCCGGAACCACGTTCATTCTTCTTGGCAAGGAATGTGTCAAGGACATTCAATCAAAATACTTGATTTCTTAGAAAGCGCTTTGTTGATTTTGTTGATGTCGTGTCTACAACCAATGAAACAGGTAGAATTCTGATGTGACAGTGCAAGATGATTGGTTTATGTTGTCAAGAAATTAGGGCCGTCTATAAAAACAAAAACAAAAAAAAAATGGTGAACAGTGCGGTCTGCAAGTGGTATGTATGCATTTTACTTTAGGTCGCATTTCACCTGTAATCTTTAGGGAAACAGTCTGTGAAAGGCATTGCACAGCAAGAGACAGGCCTTAAGGCATCCATCACCTACTGGAGAGATTTTTTTTTTTTAACTCTTGGCAAGTGAGAGCTGAAGGATAACACTCGTCCTGGATCAGTTTCCCATACCCTGGGAGAAGGTTAAGAAGCCTTTTATGACGCTTTCCTCAAAACAGCTGTCGTTCAAACAGAGCGACTCCTAGTAGGAAGGTCTGTCGTCAGCACTGGAGATCTTTCACTGCGCTCGACCACTTAAGGGTGTTCAGGTTCAATAAGCCCAGCTGTCACTTGTCTAAATGTCTAAAGCCGCCTGCCTTGGGGGCGGTTTGCTACAAGAGCCCTGAAATGCTTGGGGGCTGCATCCTAAAGTCGTAGTTCCTCGCCACTCAGGACACAAGTGACAGCAGGGCAGGTAAAAGCCTGCTGGTTGAAAGACAGTGTCAGATGGCGTCAGATGTTCTAGCCAGATAGATGTGTTGTGATAAAGTCATCGACCATTTTTGCATGTATCATGTTCAGCCTTTTTTTTATAACTGGGACCACAATACAAGATCACTCATACTTGTTCTTCTCTCTCAATGTAGCATCCGAGGACTTTGAATCAGTTTTTGGTCCGGCCAGAGAGGTCAAACAGTTTGAAACAGCGCCACCTCAGGAAGGTATAAAAATGACACTTTTATTGCATACATTGGAGTTGAACATAATTATTTCACTAACGATTAGTCCACTATGCCGCCCTTGTTCATGCTAACCATTCAAAAAAAAAAAAACAACAACAACGACAAAAAAAACACTATTTGAGCTGCTTATGCTCCCAAGGGTCACGGGAGTGCTGGAGCCTATCTGAGCAAATATTTTCCATCATTATTAAAATTGTATATACGAACTGTTGTACAGATGTGGAAAGAATTACTCTTAAATATAAAACAGAAATACAACAAGAGGTATATGAAAGACAAAAATACATGTCCATTTTGTGAAACTTCTTGAAAATGTTGGTCCAAATCTGCATTGATTGACAAACCCTCTTTTATATCACTGCATAATGAGTTTTGACAAATTGGATGATGACAACTATTAATGATGACAACTTTTCTTTCTTGGCACTAGAGTTTATCATGGACTGCAACTTTGATCAGGGAGCATGTGAGTGGGTTCAAGACAAGACTGATGACATGGACTGGAGCGTCGCTTATCATGGAAGAGGTAATGACAAATGTCTTATTTTCACAAATAATGGTCGAAGATTACTACTACAGTAGTTACCAAGTCTATTTAATGGGAGGCAGTTTTGGTATAACATTAAAAAATATTATTGGTTCTGTTTATTACACCTTATGTGAACCAAACTAGAGTTGAATACAAAATTTAAAGATGACTATTTTGGAGCAGCAAAACGGCAACAAACATGCTGTTTAGCCCAATTTAAACATATATACAAGCAGACACTACATTCAATTTGTTCATTGGCAAATACTTGCCACACTATGAATACTGAGCTGTTTTTTCAGGGGCTGAGTACTACATGTCTATGAGTGGTCTACTTGGGGAGGAGGAGGACGTAGCTAAGCTCAAATTGCTGCTCAGTGATCGAACCACACAGGGCAGCTTCTGCCTGACCTTCAACTATCGTGTGGTGGGTCATAACGTGGGCACGCTCAGGGTGCTGCTGGATAATAACGCTTACCCGGTTTGGGAGCAAAACCACAGCAGGAATCAGGAATGGCAGACGGAGCTCCTCACTGTGGCCTGGAAAGAGGAAGCACCACAATCAGTGAGTCATTTGGTGATGTTGTATATCATTTCAATACTCCATACAATTGCGAAAAAGATTTTTTCAGACAAAGAATAATAATTCGTAACACAATGTACTACTACAGATGATACCCTGATGCTGGGAAGATGTTGTTGTTGCTAGTCTTATTAGATCTGAGTGCAGCGCTTAATGTGACACGTGGTGTCCCTCAGGGGTCAGTCCTCGTACCTCTTTTGTTCAGTCTGTATACTCTGTTACCCTTGAGTCAAATGCTTCAAAATGCTAATGTTAGCTATCATGGCTATGCAGATGCCACATAGGTATATTTAGCAGTTTCCCGAAATGACAGCGGTTCAATTGATATTTTGGGTCACTGTCTAAATCCAGGTTAAAAACTATGCTTGCTTTTCCATATTCCTTCGATGAAGGTATTGTAAGCATTTTTAGATCATTATTCACTATATGGTCTGTTTGTAATTTCAGGGAGCTGCTTTTTATTTCTGCCTTTTTCTTTTAAATGTCTCTAAATCTTTAGTTTGTAAATATGTTTAAATGTTGTCAAAGTACATTCTTTTTATAATTTTAATCAGGTACTTCTTTTTACTTTGCCTTTCAATATCTTCAACTGTTGTGTTTGTAAATATTTTTCAGCGTTGTGCTTTTTGTTGTGTGAAGCACATTGAGTTGCTTTGTGTACGGTATGAAATAAATAAAGTCGCTTTGCCTTGCCTTATAGATCATCTTTGAAGCTCAGCGTGGGAGACACGTTGGAGGGGAGATCGGGCTGGACAATGTTGTGTTGACCTCGGGGCCGTGTCAAGATGCTATATTCAGTCGGTTACAGTAAATGCAAACATGTTTCCGTTTAAAGCCGGTATCTAACCGAGCGGCGAAAGTGCAAGTGTGTGAGATACTGCTATATTCAGTCGGTTACAGTAAATGCAAACATGCTTCCGTTTAAAGCCGGTATCTGAGCGGCGAAAGTGCAAGCGTGTGAGATACGGTAAGGGGAGACGTGAATGCCGAGGAAAGGTAGTTTCTTGTTTTGCACATACAATTGATGTTTCTTTACTTGTTACCGTATCGTAGAAATGACATATTACCGCGTACGTCAGATGCCATTCACCTAATCTTGTAGCGTGAAGCAAGCGCATCTGTCAGCTGGGGTCTGGTCGCAGCTAAAATGTCGCTACTTATCGGTGATCCAGACCGAGTCGCTGATTGGTCTTTTCTGTCACGTGACCAGGGCTGTCTGTTGCTTCCAAGCTCGCTATCGTTAGCATCCCAACAGGCTACTGGCGCTAGCATCGAGCCTTCGGACAGTCAAGGAAACGACCTGTCATTGTTGATCTCGGCCAACGAAAAAAAGGCAAGGAGGTGACACACACATACACTCAACATCTTTCTTTGATTTCGCGGCCAAACCGGCGTGGACGCGGTTAGTTACATAGACCGAACTGCAACGTAGCGATTTTGGTCTGAAGTAAACTTGGCCAACGTCACACTACTAAAAATTTAGTTGCCTTCAAAATAACTATCTGTGCAGATGCCTTGCTGTCCTATTTATTGTTTGGGATCTGCCTGACAAGGGCGAGCTTGTGAAGCATTATCCGCGATCGCAGTGTCATCGGCATACTACGTACGTACAACATGTACATATCGCGTCACAGCTATGCCATTGTAGGATTCAACTACATATCGGGAGCGTTTCTATGTAGTACGTTTTTCTACGTCCGTTGCGAGCTGCCCTGTTGAAGAAGCGCTCTCCTACCAACCATTTACAAGCAAACGGCTGTGTTGTAGGCAGCGCAAGTGGAGTTTACATGGCCGTCCATTCCAACACTGAACAAACGAGCATGTGACTGACTAGCAGGGTCTGCACCACATGATCTGGACCAGTGGAGGAAGCCTAAATCAATCAGTGGTGAGTCTCCAACCAGCCATCACATCTCGTGATTGTGTTTTAGTAAAAAGAAACGCATTTTTTGTGATAGTCTTGTATCAAAAGGACTTGATGTGTTTTGTGGTCAATGGCATTTATTTACTCAGCCACAAACAGAACCAGTTGACTGCACACGTATGTCAATTAAAAACCCGTTTGACTGCATCTTAGTTCGTAAAACCCTGCACCGAAAATGGCAGAATTTTGCACCAGAAACTAGGCCTGGATGAATAGAGAAAATGTAATAATCCTAGAAACTTGTCTCTGTGTCCCATCCACCACTGTGTGTTGCATGTGTGCATTTTAATGCTTTATTATGTATGTATGAGAGCCATTGATCGTGTACGAGCACTCATCTAACTTTGGTGCAGGCAGTCCGGGGAGGGTGTCTGTCTCTGTATCTGCACTGTGATTGACTGGCGACCAGACCATACAATCACACAGCGTTTATTCGATTGAAGGCTACTATTTGGAGAAATACGGCTTTGCTTGTTAAACAAAGCAGTGACATGTTGCATCATTGAAACAGGTCATACCTTCATCGCAGTGATTTGCCACGAGCGGCCATGTCGAACAAAACGTCTCTGCTGAAAGTCATCCTCCTGGGCGACGGCGGCGTGGGAAAGAGCTCCATCATGAACCGCTACGTCACCAACAAGTTTGATGCGCACCTTTTTCACACCATCGGCGTGGAGTTCCTCAACAAGGACCTGGAGGTGGACGGCCACCAGGTCACCTTGCAGATCTGGGACACCGCCGGCCAGGAGCGCTTTCGCAGCCTGAGGACTCCTTTTTACCGAGGCTCCGACTGCTGCTTGCTCACCTTCAGCGTCGACGACAACCAGAGCTTCCTCAATTTGGGCAACTGGAAGAAGGAGTTCATCTACTACGCGGACGTCAAGGAGCCGGAGAAGTTCCCTTTCGTCGTGCTGGGCAACAAACTAGATGTTAGCGAGAGGCAGGTGTCTGCTGAGGAGGCCCGGCAGTGGTGCCAGGAGAACGGCGACCATCCGTATTACGAGACCAGCGCCAAGGACGCCACGAACGTAGCGGTGGCCTTCGAGGAGGCGGTGCGCAGGGTTTTAGCGATGGACGAGCGAGCGGACCACCTCATCCCCACGGACACGGTCAAGCTCCACAGAAAGCCTCGCTCGGCCACCACCTGCTGCTCATAACATCCAAGTGGCTGTGCGCAATGTTAAATAATGCTGTTAAAGTGACAAGGCTGTATTAACACCTTATTGGAACTTCTAACACATTTGATTTGTTCTGTCAGGGTTTGCTTACAGATGGGGTCTGTTTAATCGGGGAAGCACGAAGTGTGTCTTAGTACAAAAGTACACCGAATCCTTCACTCAGTTCAAAGGTCACATTTTAAGAATGAATTAACTGCATATTAGCTTTGTGTGGGTACCTAAAAAAAACATGCCAATCTGTAGATGAGTGCAATTACGTGAAGATTTTGTTAATATTTAGATTGGCATCTTTTTTTTTTTTTAGCGCTTAGGCATGTTACTAACAAATCAATCGATTTGACACCAGTGTTGCTCTTAAAGTTAGGCCGATTTGTTTGTTTGTTTTTTCATGAAACAGAAGAAAAACTCAACAACAGCTGGATGGACCTACATTTCTTTCAGCTAAACCAGAACAAATCAGAGGTAATTGTTTTGTGCAATAAAGAAAGGAGGATTGCTATTTGAAAACACTTGAAGTCACTATCTTTAGAAACCAAAGACCAAGTCCGAAATCTCAGACTGCTACTGAAAATTCTTCTACTGGTCGATAAATCACTGAATGGTTTGGGTCCTGAATATTTAAATAATGTTGATTGAATATAAAAGCTGAGATCAGCAGATTTGGGTTAAAATTGTGGGAGCCAGAGTTAAAAGTAAACATGGTGAAGCTGCATTTTGGTGTTATGCTACACACAAATGGAATAAGGTGCCAACAGAAGTGAAGCTAGCCCAGCGTGTAAATGCTTTTAAATCTACATGAAAAACCTTTAATTTTAGTTGTCTCAACTGTTTTTAATCATTTTCTTTTCGATGTTTTGGAAACCTACTTTTATTTCTTTACTTTTAGTTTTCTGTTAAGTGTTTAAATGTTGTCAAAGTACATTCTTTTTATAATTTTAATCAGGTACTTCTTTTTACTTTGCCTTTCAATATCTTCAACTGTTGTGTTTGTAAATATTTTTCAGCGTTGTGCTTTTTGTTGTGTGAAGCACATTGAGTTGCTTTGTGTACGGTATGAAATAAATAAAGTCGCTTTGCCTTGCCTTATAGATCATCTTTGAAGCTCAGCGTGGGAGACACGTTGGAGGGGAGATCGGGCTGGACAATGTTGTGTTGACCTCGGGGCCGTGTCAAGAAGATGACTCTCCGATCTTTTAAGAATCAAATGTATCAAAGTCATATCGACAATGTTTCAAAAAGTTAAGACATTCTAAGAGCCAGTGATTGCATATTAGCTGAAATGGGATGGCCTGATTTTTTATAAAAATCTTAAAATACTGAAAGGCCAACACTTGATGGTCAAGTTCAGTCATTATGTATAATAGATTGCTTTAAGAATATTTTTTGTTGTGTAATTTGAAACTTGGTGTGACATCAATAGTTAGGCTAGTTTGTATGATTTTATCAACATTATCTGTGGATTATTGCTGTAAATTCTGCTTTCACATCTCTCTGTAGTTTTACATTAAATCTCTTGTTTTATATCTCTGTCTCTTGTGGCTGTACTGTGAATACAATGCATTACAGTGGGCATCATCACAGTTTAATACCACGAAGGAATTGTCTACTAATTGAATGCAATTGACCATATATGGGTGACACGGTGAACGACTACTGGTTAGCATATCCAATGACTGGTTTGCACTGCCCGCCACACAGTACACACGCGCAGGGTTCGATTCCGGCTGTGGCCTTCCTGTGTGGATTTTGCATGTTCTCCCCTTGCCTGTGTGGGTTTTCTCCGGGCAGACCAGGTTCCTCCCACATTCCCAAAAAACATGCATGGCAGGTTGATTAGGCACTCCAAATTGTCACTAGGTGTGATTGTGAGCGTAAATGGTCGTTCGTCTATGTGTACCCTGCTAGTAGCTGGCAACCGGTTCAGGGTGTCCCCCGCCTACTGACCAAAAACAGCTGGGATAGGCTCCAGCACCTTCCGGGACCCTTTGGAGGATAAAGCGGATCAGAAAATGGATGGATGGATGGATGAAATGTAAGGACTTCCTGCTCTTTAGGCATGACTTAATGCGTAAATTATTTCATTATATGACAATTTATGTCAAAAATGATAAATAATGGCTTCATTCCCATGACACAGTATGAGGGTGGGAAAAAAATCCCACTGTGATTTTTCCAATAATTTTTTCTTATCAGCAAAAAATGTTCTTGTAAAAATGCAACTTTTTTTCCACGTGACTTTGGGATTATTTTACACAAATGTCAACTGTTTTCAGCGTCTTATGACTTCATTTTGTTAACTTTATGACTTTGTCATTATACATTGTCATTCAGTCAATAGGACTTTTTCCACATGAAAAAAAAAAATCACATCTTTCTGTAAACATTTTGACTTAACTTTGAAAAAAATTAAGGACATTACACTTTTCTATGCATGTTGCATTTTTATTCAAATTTTTGCAACTTTTACCATTTAACAACTTTATTCTAGTAATACTGCGATTGGTATGACATTAAGTCATCATAACCGTAGGAGAAAAAAACAAGAGAACTCAACACTTTAACCTGTCCACACACAGGGTACGGGAGCTGCACTTGATCAGTTTGAAAGACATCCTGAAAGAGTTAAAACACTTCCAGGATCCATGTGCTCGCTGCTCTGTCACATTCACTGCAATACCGCAATCACCCTGCAGTCAGGAAGGAATGTTCACACAGCGGAAACGAGACAGGAACGATAACAATGGAAACACCAGCTCATTGCAAACGAAACAAATATATGCGCATTCGCACATTCTTAGGTCATCAAGATTAAAAATATTCCACAAAAATGACTCATGATGAGTTGGGTAATGAAGAGGGCAAGGTCGTACACGCAACACATACAGACAGACAGTCTAGTTACACATACTTTTGGAGAAGTCGGGAGTTTTCAAGGACATTTTTAAGATATGAAGACCGTGACAGTTCATGCTAGGACAGTTTGGAGGAAAAATGTGTGGCCTCATCCCGAGGAAAATCCTATCATTTGTGCAATACAGCATTTTCCTGTACTTAAGCCAAGTCTTGAGGTTCAAACTACACATAACGTGGTGTAGAATAATATTAAATATACTTTTTAGGGAATAACATTTCTGTCTTGCTTTTGATGAATACATCAAATACAACATTCTATGCAACCGCATTTTAATGTCAGTCGTTATGGTGGTACTTAAAGAGATAAATATTCGCACAACCTTACAAGTTCACCCTAATTTTTTTTTATGCTTGTAAATGTATGACTTAGGACTTGTGGGCTTTTTCCATAGGTTCAACCACATCACTCTCATTCTGTCATATATGCCCTGGCTCTGTGTTCATTTGCTCATAACATCCAAGTGGCTGTGCGCAATGTTAAATAATGCTGTTAAAGTGACAAGGCTGTATTAACACCTTATTGGAACTTCTAACACATTTGATTTGTTCTGTCAGGGTTTGCTTACAGATGGGGTCTGTTTAATCGGGGAAGCACGAAGTGTGTCTTAGTACAAAAGTACACCGAATCCTTCACTCAGTTCAAAGGTCACATTTTAAGAATGAATTAACTGCATATTAGCTTTGTGTGGGTACCTAAAAAAAACATGCCAATCTGTAGATGAGTGCAATTACGTGAAGATTTTGTTAATATTTAGATTGGCATCTTTTTTTTTTTTTAGCGCTTAGGCATGTTACTAACAAATCAATCGATTTTTCACACTGCACATGTTTTTTGCCTCGTGAATTGATTCTAGGTCCTCAAAGTACAGATGCTCCCTAATCCATATAAACATTAAAACTGGAAACTTGTATTATGTTATTTAATCACTCGTACAAGAAATTAAGATTGGAGGACAACCGCCGACTGCCCGAAGGCAGCTGGGCTAGGCTCCAGCACGCCCGCGAAAATGGATGGACAGCATGGGTGCAATTCTGCCGATTATTTAAGATTACCTTTGGATTTTGGGTCAGTTGATTTTGGGGGATTGTCTTGGATATTGAGCTTATTGTTTGTGGTTTTAACTTTACAGTTAGTTTTTTTTCCTAAATGAAATAAAATGCTCATGTGCATTTCTTGTTCATCATCCATATGCCAACCAACAAATAAAGCATCTGAGAATCTGTAAGTGTGTTTTGTGGCCACTTCAAACATGAACTGATGACCTGAAGAAAGGACAAGCATTCTGGACGATGGATGAAGGGGTCTTACGGTATATACTGTGTGCTATCACTTGGAGACTCAGTATTTTGACCTATACTGTACTTCTTGCTGCATTGTAAAAATGCTTATTGGATAAGGGTGATGTGACCTCAGGTGATTGACACCCTGTTTAAAATAAAGCAGCAGCTTCTCATCAAGCAAAGGTGTCCCAACATTGTAAAAACAAAATAAAATGGATCATTCAGAGGGATAGATTGAACCGTCTCATAAGTCAACAGTGTTGCAAGAGGTGATACAAATTAACAAGCAAAGATTTGAGAAAAATCAAACGCAAAGCTACCAGAAAATACAAACAGTTAAATGCCAGGAGGCATGACCAAGATAAGGAAGGTTGAATTCTGACCACCCCGAAAGTGACTTAAGTTGCAGCGTGATGATGTAGCCAAAAAATATCTGAAGGGAGATTTTTTTTTTTTTTCAAAGGTCTTATCGACTCATGAGATAAGAGTGACTATTGATGGACTCATCAGTAGCACGCACAGAGCTCACCTTTGATCATGGCGGAGGTGTGGGGTAATGGCTTGGGCTGATAGCAAAGATTTAACAGTTGGACCTTTTCGGGTCATGAGAGGGACTCAACGTTAACTCTCAAATCTACTTCCAGTTTTTAAGAAATGTTCAACAAACAGTGGCAAGAAGAGTGATTTTTATGCATGACAATGTTCCATGACATAAAAGTAATCCATTTTGTGGCTAGCACATAAAATAATGCCTGCGACACAATTCCACAAAATTCTAACAGAAGACCCATCACTTATCAATCCTGTCGGTAATAGGCAAGCAGGCAAACTATTAGGAATCAAATTAATAGAAAGGTGGTTCTAAAAGGAACCGGTTTTCGATTCCCATTCAGGCTTGATGGACAGCGAATTAATTTGAACAAAACAGGGCGGAAGAAATGCGTTACAGCCTAAGGTGTCACACCTCTATCTCGACTTTAACTGCATTCCTTTCCACACGGGCTCCCTCCTGCTTCTGATATTGTGCAGGCTTCTTTCACCCAGTTTGTATGAGTACCATTAAAACAGAACAGCATCATGAAGAAAAAAAAAAGGAAAATAACTGCTTTTACAGGTAGTGTAAAAGCAGCGCAAACTCTCTTTTTAGGACATAAAGCAATGACCATAATGCAAGTATAGCAGTCACAAAAATGCTTTATAGACATTATTCACAAGACACTTAAAAAAGAACACTCAATCCAGACAGCAACATTGCATTAATAAACATGTTGCACTGAGAACACTGTGCATGTGACACACTTAATTAAGAAGATGTTTCTTTCCAAGAAACTGCACTTTCCTCTCAAATGCCGTGGAGCGGATTGGTGCGTTGGTCTCATAGAATGGATTCATTGCAAACTGGAAGGGAAAAAAACAAAACATTAAATCGGCTACTCACCAACAAACTCTCTGTTGAGGACCGCTATAAGACAGGTGACTAACCTTAATGTATAAATCATACACATCATTAAAAAAGTTCTTGATTCCATCTTCTTGTCGCACATCATGAAGCATGATGAATCTTATATGTATGGCAAGAAATTAAAGAAAACAAGACCACAAATCGATAATGGATGTGGACAAATTGCATACAGTGGGGTGGGGAAACACAACATAATACAATAAAGGATATGTCCTGCAGTGACAAAGGCGGACACAAACCACTCGTTGAACTTGTCCACAGTTTTTAAGTACATGTTGTTAGACAGCCACATGTTTTCATCCACCAAATCCAGGGCTGCATGTGCAATAAACTGGTTTAAATGACGGTGGTCATCCTGTGGTCAAAAAACAAACCGTATCAGCCACTGAAATTAAAGCATCTTCCCTGACAAGTTCAACAGTGGCAGCATAATCATATTCATCATCATCTTACCTTGCATTCAGGCTTCCCGGATGGTAAGAACTCCATCTCAAATACCGGGTTGTCATGATGACCAACCATGACAAAGTAAAAACACCCTGACATTTTTTGTCTTTGTCTGCCTCTGCAGTGGAATCACAACAAGCGAAATACCAGTGAAACAACACCCATTATTTGATCCTCTTGTCCTCAGTGAAACAACAATTACTCCATAATATTAGCATCATTTGTAGCGCATTAACGACAGGCACAATTTCCTAACTACACTTGGAATTGCTGGTTAATGAACATAGGAATATAAAAGTCAGCACCAACACATCAAAAAAAAAATAAATGTAGAAATGATATACAGTACATTTCAAAAACTCGCCCATTATTAAAGGTACGAAACGTTTGTTTACCTGCTGTTGTTACTTCCGGTAAACGACGACGGCTGTCGCATGTAGATGACGACTTTACATAGCCTTTTTTTTTCGAATAAATTATTTTTATGGTGGTGGATAATAATACTCATCTTTAAAAGTGAATGCCGTAAATAATGTTGCTAACATTTAATAAATGCATTACTGCGTCGTAACTCCCGATGACCGTTGACAGGTTTAAATCTCAGGCCACGCCTCCTGCGTCACGAGGACTCGATTCAGTCTCCATGCGCAACCTAAACAACTTAAAAAACAACAACAAAACCGACATTATTTATCATAATGGCATAACATTGCACAGAAAGATTGACCCCTGCTGACATCGGGTAAGAATGTGCTCTGAGTTACCGGAAGTCGTCGTGTCGATGTACTTCTGATTGCTCGCATTTCAGGACCACGAATTACCCTAATAATGTCAGCCAAGGAAGATGTTATATCCACAGACGAGCTGAGGAAGAGGCTTTATAAAACGCTGAGAGATAGGGGAGTGCTGGATACACTTAAGGTAAGTCATGATCCGTGTCTTAGTATGTAGTCAATGATTGACTTTACTTTCGATTACTTTTTTGGGGTATGTTTAAGACCCAGCTGCGCAACCAACTTATCCACGAGTTAAAACCAGCACCATTAAGCGGAGCAGAACCATCCCTGAGATCAGATTCATATTTGATCTCAGCCTGCAACAACATAGTGGCTGACTATCTTCTCAACTCAGGCTATGAGTACTCATTATCTGTATTCTGCCCCGAAAGTGGCCTGTCCCAAGAGAAGGTAACACAAAATTTATCATAAGCCTTGACAGCCTGAAAAGGCAATCATATTTTTGGATAATAATATATTCGTTTGGATTGTTCTAGGTGTTCAAGAAAGGAGATCTCCTGCAGCATCTTAAAATCAGCCCCGAGTCACCACTTTACAAATTCCTGGTAATAACAGCCAAACACTGCAACGTGTTGTTGTTTTATTAAAAGTGAGTGACTGTATTTTCGTTTCTTACAGTCTCCGAGCATCGACAATACAGGTAGGCTACTTTAAGTATGTCATGTGTCATTCACTATTGCCTCTTAAAGTGGCCATATGCAATGCCAGGCATTATTTAAGGATATACTTATTTAGCCAGGCCTTTACTTTATGATCAGGTGTCTTTTAGGGATAAAATTTAGCGAGGTTTCTCATATTTTTTCATGATTTCATTTAGAGCTGTTGTTTATTTTTAAAAATGTCGAAATCCTCTGATTTCAGCCTAGCTATGGTAATTATTCTACTTGATGAAATACTACATTGTTTGCCTTCAGTAAAATGAAGTCATATTTTTGATATGTTTCCTATTTTCCAAACAGGCTTTTTAATCAACCTTGTGTCACACGTCACTGACCATCAACCTGCTGTTCTTCACTGTGACGCAGACACTCAGACATACAGCTCAGCTAGTTACGAACAGTCTATCGGTATGCTTATTTTTAAAAAATATTTTCAAAACACAATGTCGATGTTTAATGTGGCCTTTCTTTGTTTACATCCACAGTTGAGAAGATGAAAATGATCGACAAGGAATATGAGAACGTGAACTGCAGCGGGGAAAAGTGGTTTTCATTTCAGTCTAAACTAGCTTCCTATCGGAGAGAATTAGAATCCCAGATGCAGACTGAAATTAACACAAAGGTACTGAGAAAAAAAAAAACCCTCAGTCTTAAAATCTCTTTGCCACCAATTTGGCCTGAATGTTGTCGTCATTTGCCAAAGATGCAGCATTTTAAAGAGGTTGAACTCGCCAAGGTGAAGATGGAGGAAAAAGTGCAGTTTCAGAAGGAGTTTGAGAAGTTCAAACAAGAACTGGCGAGAACCTATGAAATGAAGACGAAGGCGTTAAACACCAGGGAGAAACACGCCATTGAGCGGCTTCAAAAACAACAAGAGGTAAAACAACGATGAGTACTGTTTTTCCCCTGTGGTTTACCTTTACTGATGCCATTGTGGAAACTTTTTGCTGTCTCAGATCGAGGAAAAAAATGTGTACATGCAGAGGCAAATGGTGCTGAAAGAAATCGACACGCTGCGTAACAGAGAAAATGAGCTGAAGTTGAGAATGGAGTCTTTTGAAGAGTATGTTTTATTTAACCAGGAAATTAAACAGACCAACGTATTGTTGATGACTGCCTAGTCAATGATATTGACCAAAATTCGGAATGCAGGACTTGTCAAATACACAAAGAGAAGATGAAGGCCGGCGAAGATCTTCTGAGGAGGCGAGAACTGGCAGTGAAGACAATGGAAGAAATGTATGACCAAAGGCTGAAGAATGAACTTTCCAGGTATTTCAGTTGTCTTTTTCCTCATTCTTTTTTCTCCTGTTTATCTGCCACTTGTTGCTTAAGATGTTTTGAGATTAGTTATTCGGAATTAAGAGATTTCCTGTCATCACATATCATAGTTGGAAAGTTTGAGAAACATCCATCCATCCATTTTCTGATCCGCTTCTCCTCACGAGGGTCGCGGAGCGTGCTAGGGACTATCCCAGCCACATTCGTAGTGTAGGCTGGGACAAACAACCATTTGCGCTCACAATCACACCTAGGGACAATTTAGAGTGCTCAATCAGCCTGCTATGCATGTTTTTGGAATGTGGGAGGAGAGTGGAGTACCGGGAGAAAACACACGCAGGCACTGGGAGAACATGCAAACTCCACACACGAAGGCCGTGGCCTGGAATCAAACCCTGCACCTCTGCACTGTGAAGTGGACGTGCTAACCAGTCGACCACCGGGCCACCTTTTGAGAAACAATTGAGGCATATTTTCCAGATTTTTTTTTTTTTTTTTTTTTTTTTTTAGGAATTCCGTTGTGTACTGATCGTAAGACAACTGCAAACCATCTTTCATGAAAGATTATCTTTGAATAAAACATTAAATCAAAATAAAGCGTTTGCTTTGCCAAAAAAAAACCAAAACATTTTTGCCAAGGAAACGGACCAAAACAGTACCTGAATAATAATTAATTTATGTTTGTGCATTTTCTGCACTGTCAATTTGACGTGCTACTGTTTTTGTTTTTTTTTTTTTTTAAGAGGGAATTAAAATTACACCATGAATTGGATTGGATTGATTGATTCATCAACAAAATGATCGACACAATCCACTATTAAATGAATAGTTCATTGCAGTCCTACTACAATGTCTTGTGCATGTCACCTTAGCTATCAGCTGGAGCTAAAGGAGGATTACAGCAAGAGGGCAGAGCAACTCACAATGAGTGAGAAGCTAAACAAAGGTAAATTTTGAAATAAATCCAGTTTTGTCCAATGTCTTCGTCAGCATTAAGATCATGTTTAGCCTTCTTTTCCTTTCTTAGAAGAAAGTATTCGCCTTCAACACGATTCCGCTGCAATGAAAGCCAAATTGGAGGAGTACAATAAAGCCTGTTCGGATACGAAACGACTGCAGGTAAAGCCCATGAAATGTTCACGTTACTTCATGAGTTGCACCGTGCCCGGTTTAAAAGAATCTCCATGATGTCCGTCGTCTTCAAGGGGGAGCTCGATGCGGCGCAGCAGCAAACTTGTCTGCTCCGTCAGCAGAATGAACTGCTGAGAGAAAGACTGGAGAGTATGAGCGACTTCCCCAATTTGAAAGAAGAAACTGCACGCCTGCAGGGACAAGTGAAGCTTCTGCAGAAACAGCTGGTGGAGGCCCAGGAGGAGAACGGGCATCTCCGTGCAGGTCAGCAAATACACCCAACGGCCATTTCGAAAAGGGTATTTAACATAAGAGCTATATTACATTTTTTAAAAGACAAAAAATGTTTTCATCGCCACAGTCAGCGAGGTGTTAATTTTACAGCACTCGAGTAAAATTGTGCTGAATCGTAATGATGGCTTTGCCAAACATTTTGGTTCCCTCAATTGACAATGTAAAAAGTTAGCATCATTATTTTTCTAGAGGCAGAATGTTTGATGCAGTTCTTGAGTACGGTATGATCCATTATGCATGTAAAAATACGATGGGAGTGATTTTCTGAGATTAAATTAGGTGAGACCGAAAATATCCATTCTGAAAGTAAACTCGTGGTTTTCCAAACAAATCTTCTTGGAGTGTACTCATTTATGTTGAGCGTACATTTGCCAGACTTGGGCAAGCCTTCCGAGGAGCAGCTGGCCTTGCAGGTGGAGGTCCGCAAGCTTCAAAGTGCTCGCAAACTGGATGAGGAGGAGTTTGCGAACCAGAAGCACGAGCTGCAGAAACAGCTCCAGTTAGAGGTTACACACGTTCGAGTCTCAGGCTCGTCTTTTTCTGTTCCATATTTTTGCATGGAGTAACCCGTGCTGCATTGTGGTAGGCGGAGCGACGCGGCCAGCTGAACATGCAGCTGATGGAGTGTGAGGAGAAGCTGCAGTGGACCACCGCTCACATTGAGGACCTCAAAATGCAGCTTCGCCAAACCCAACAAGGTATCTTGCACGCAACAACTTTCCTTTGGTTCTCAAGTTGACAGTACAAAACTGGATAAAATGTATGAAAACAAAGTATTGAAAAGAATAGGCTTTTTTTTTTTTTTTTTTGGACAAATAACACACACTTTAACCGGACACTTATAATTTGTCTTATAGGGTTCATCACTGGTGTTAGCTAGCAAATGAGCCTAAATAACTATAGCACAAATTAGTGGCATATCACACACTTCAATTGGACACTTATAATTTATTTTCCCAAACCACGCAGAGCCGCAACAAGGATGAAAGAGTCGCATGCGGCTCCGGAGCCGTGGGTTGCCAATTGTGTACATGCTAGATTCTAGCATGTACACAATTGTGGACGCACGTGTTGTAAAAACTCCTCCATTCATTCAGTCGTTCAATTAGGCATCACTAACAAACCACCGTCCTACAGGGCTCATCACCGGTGTTAGTTAGCTAACTAATGAGCCTAAATAACTATAGCACAAATTAGTGGGATATCACACATGGATATGCGCCCTAGGACTTTGCACAAATGCTATTATGTCACTAAAGTCACCTTTTGGTACTTCTACATCGAGATAATTTTAAATGGGCATAATGCAATTCATTATCTAACTAGAATATTTTACTTCCTTTACCTGCAATCGCTTCATCACCAAGCAGGCATTATTGTACTCCTCAAATTTGGCTTGAGTCACAGCCGAAAAATCCTTCTTCTTCCACAGCTCTTGAAAACGAAGTGCTGCTCAACCCCAAGCCCTCCCTGGTCGACCGCTCCATGTTGGAGTTCGCCGACGACAAGCTGGTGCCCCCCGACATCTACGTGGACCGAGCGGCGCTGAGGCCCCCGGCGGCCTACGAGCACGTCGGCGACGTAGATCAACTCGTGCACGGCGACTCCAGCTCCGACTTGGAGATGCTGGCCGAATGTCACACTCGTATTCGAGAGCTGGAGAGGGAAGCTGAAAGCTTGCAGGAAAAATGCACCAAGTACCAGCAGAGGGCAGCGCGCTCCAGCATCTCAAGGAGGCGTCCCGCAACGCCTTCAAGTCGGGCCGACTCTCCTCTGCTGACACTAATTTCTGACCTCTCCCACCCTTACAACGCCCAGCTGTCAAAGGGCTTCACGAGGCCACTGTCTCCTGAAAAAGCTCAAACCCCCTCCCCAGCACCCTATGATGCTGGAAACGCCTTCCCGGCTGCTCACCACCGAGTGACCTTCTATCAAGACCAGCTTCACAAGTCCTATGGCATGAGCAGCCTTTCGTCAGCAGAAGCTCAGTCTCCGAGGCATGATGACCTCCCCAAGGAGCAACACTCATTCACACGTTTGTCCTTCCCCACCAGGAGGAAGCTTCAGCGAGACGCGGATGAAGGTACTGAAAGATACCCGGTGAATCAAGTCATGTTTAACGTAATACAAAATGTGCTTGAAATTCTTCAATGGAGGAGTTTCAGTACTGCATTTTGAAATGATTAGAACAAACTAATTGAATTTCTAGTTGAATAAAATTAGTGATTTGGATCTTAACTTTGGGTTAAAACGAATTGGAATGCGCTGTTAACTGGTCATGACAAGTGACAAAAAAGTAAGATAGTTTTATCTTTTTTAGATATTGATTACATTTTGACATAAAGCTCCACATTCAAAATGATTCATCATCTTTCTAATGCATGTACGGTTGCTGATGTTGGACATTGATAGTTCATTAGAATGTTCTTTATAGTGCCAGAAGTTATCGAAAAATAACAATGAAAAAGGTTACACTTTATTATTTCGATTTCGTGTCATTCTCAGCTAAAACAGTTATGACAGAAGGCAAAATGAAAAGGGACAAAATGATCTGAAATGAAAATGATGCAGTGCAGCTTCACACCACAACGCATGTTGTTTGATGAATACCCATCAGACAGTATCAAACAATATCCGGCCTGAAATTATTCGCCGAAAAACTCAAATAATTCAGCCTACGTTCCCATTTGCTGACTTTCACCCACGTCACTCACCGGGCCAGGCTTCACCTTTTAAAGCCACACACACTCAAAGGTCACAGATATCATCGTGTGGAACATCATCACACACATTGTCAATTAATGATGCAAAATCCATTTTTGTGCGACTATAGGATAATCGGTAGAATCATCCATTTAAAAAAGATTTGACAGCTGCAGCCTTCATCAAAAATTGAGCAATTTCGCAATGCTAGTGTCTTTGATCCATCTCTTGTTATATTGTATGTGATCTCGTTAGCTTGTGTACGTATACCAAATATTATGTCCAGCAAATGTACGTCTTACCTATTTCAGCATTGTAGTGTTTTCAGCAGTTTAATTCTTCGCCGTTGCTAGAAGCCACTTTGTCGCCATTGTTCCGGGACTCACACGACAGCCGCCTCCCCTCGGCCAACCGCGACGACGCGTCCAGCTCGGGTGAAATCTCCCCTGGGCTGAGCTCGCCTCGCAGCCCTCAGCTGCAGAGCACCGTGCGAGATCGACGCAGGTACCATCTGGCGCTGCTCTCCCTTTTTTTATCTATGTATTTATTTGCAACAAGAGTGGCTTTGTGTAACCTGACAGTGAATTCTATTCCTTTCAGTGTTCCAAATCGACAATGTGTCTCCTCCAGCTCACATTCTTCCCCGCAGCCCGAAAGGATATACGTTGCGGATCTCACCGGGATTTCACCAGGTAGCCCAAAGTGGTGCTTCTTCTTACCGCTCTGCACGCAGCACAAAAGTGTGTTTTGCGTTGAAATCGGAGCACTTTTGACTCGTCTGCTGTTTCTTCACTTTCAAACAAGTACACTGTATTTTGTTTTGTTGATCAGAAAAAACAAAAAGTGACAAAACTTGGAGAATTTGAAACTTTTTTTTCCCCTAAATCGAAAATGTGAAGAAAAATCTCTTGTTTTAAAATATCACATTAAAAACATGTTTTATTTTATATCTCACATTTTTTTAATTTTGGAGGGGGTATACAATGTATATATGCTTTTCCAGGCTTGACTGAATTGAATACATTATGGATTTTTGTTTTTAAAAGGTATTTATTAATTTTATTAATAGATTTTCATTGTGGGCAAAGCATAAAAGATCCCTTTGTGCATGTCTCCCTCTAGAACCCGGGCACATTCCAGAGCTTCTCTTGGACACTGCCGTCCCTCTCTACTCCTCCGAGGCCCCCGGTGGCCCCTCTGTCCCCTGCCCACAGTCCCCACGGGACCTCCCGGAAGCCGCGGCTGAGTCACGGGGCCAAATAGGTGAGTGACCAGAACAGCTGACGAGTACATGTAAGGTCCACACAATGTAATACTTTATTTGTTCCAGAATCCCTCCAAATCTCAACGGCCTCAGAGGGTGAGGATAAAGAGGATGAGGAACAGCGATGGGAAAGAGAGAGAAAAGAAAGGCAAGAAGTGAGGCGACGGGAGCAAGAGGAGGCCAGAGAGAGAGAACAACAGGAAGCGGAGAGACTGGAGAAAGAAACTGTAACTAACTGATTAGTCCTCTCTTTTTGTTTGTTTCTGTCTAAACTACTTGTGGCACTCATTGACTGCACGTGTGCCCTCCTAGCTTTTGCGACAACAACAACAACAGGAGGAGGAGGAGGAGGAGGCAAGGAAAAATGAGGAAGGAGATTGGGACAAGACGCAGGAAGCACAAGTCCCGAGTGAAAACCCCTTGGAGAAATACATGAAGATGGTTTTGAAAGCCAGAGAGAAAAAACAAGACAAGGTAGATCACTTTTTTTTTTTTTTAAAAGTAGCAGTATCTCAATTCCCCTTAAAAAAAACACCAACAAAATATTACGTTTAGGACGTTGAGGAAAATATCATTCTACTGTATTGTACTTTATATAAAAAAGTATGGTGGTCACATAAATACCGGTACATGGAATGTAAACATTTAAACAGTAGCCGCATCATACTCTCATGTTTCCAATGCCCATTGACGTTTGTGCCACTCCTTCTGATGTGATTGGTTTCGCCACCAGGGGGCAGTATATTGCAGACAATCAGCTGCAGTTGTATTCGGCTCATCTGTTTGTTTGGGTTTGCTCACGTGGGGCAGTGTGTCGATCTTTACATAAAGTTAAAAAAAAAACAAAAACAAAAAAAAAAACAACTGATAATTGCCATCCGGCATTCTTTCAAAGTATCGCGTGACAATGATGAAAACTTTCATCGCCACAACATCCCAAACACAGAATCATAATTATGGCAAAAACCTTTGGCCCGAAAGCTCACAGAATCTTAAGTAATTTCATTAAAAGTGGGATGCAGTTTATTATTTTTTTCAAAAAATATGTATTTTAATGAAATAATAACTTTGTTTAACCTCACCAGGGAATTCGATCTACACATTAGACACTATGATAGACTTCATTTAATGTTAGCACTTAGCAGACTTACCTTAAAACGTTTTGGAATGATGTCACGACTCAAACTGTAGTCTGAATTTTTTACTGTCGTTTACGTGGCGTGTGTATATGTATTTTATTTTTATTTTTTTGTAAGAGCTCTGGTGGTGAAGAAGAACACATGAGCCCAGAGGTCAAGAGTTTGTCTGAAGAGAAAGATAATAGGTAGGGATTTCCTGATCCATTTTAATAATACATATATAATCCTCTACAATCCATCCCCAAATGACATTTCATTTATTTTGTGTTTCCTCTTGTTTTAAATTTTGCTCCCCCCCCCAACCCCCTCCCTTTCCCATTTAAAATTCCACTTAATGAGCTTATCTTTGTTTCCGCAGCATTGCAGCATATTCGCACAAGGATGAAGATGCCGACGATGATTTTTGGTGATTGCTGGCGATTTTTTTTTTTAATGCTTTTATAGGATGTAGATAAATAAATGCATGAACACATTACCTTGTGAGCTTTTGTAGTAGCATCAAATAAAAGAAGAGATTTTGTTTCACTTTTTATTATTTTCATTTGAAAAAAATAACAGGCCAGTTGTGTGGGGTTTGTTTTTTTTCTCCAGCAAAACAAGATGTTGGTTTGTTTGTCCTCCTGTTGATTGATAGGTAGCATTTTTTTCTTCTTTATGTTTTTGGTTGTTGCAAAAGGAGACGCTTTCCATCCACACTCTGGCTAATAGCCATGGCATAAATGTCAGTGTTTGTTTCAAAGTTGTAAAATGAGTTACAATTCAGTGGGGGAGAAGCCCTTCAACATTGATAGAAAAGATTTGTAGAAAATGTCTACTAGAACTAAGATTTAAATACAGTAGGATAAAGTAACATGAACGCATCTAATTACTGAACTAATCATTTGTATTAAACAAAACAAGAACAGGTAAACAAACCCTGCCTACTACCACAAAGTCAGTATACGTCATCATGTTGCAACTACGCATTCATACTCCAGGCAACAAAAACAAACAAGTTAGTGCGGCAACTAATACAATAAAAGATGACGCAACAATAAGTATAACACATCAAATTCCGATGCAATTATAGAAAAATGATGAAAAAATGTTTAGAAAAAAAAAAAGACAAATCTACACAGGTCAGACATGTAAGCCTCTTTAGATCATCCAAACTTGTTCCATTGGTACCAAAGCACACTTCAGGTTTGATAACACTGTCGAGTCACTGCAACTCATACTAATGAGCGATAAACAGCAAGTGTGTGGACTCAAATTCTTATTTTTAATTAATAGCTGCAGTCCATATTCAGCAAGCGTGTTGTTATTATGGCAAAGAGTCGCATGCTGTGATGCAGTGTGTGACTTAAGCTATTAAATCGTACTCACTGTCTGTAAAATGACATTACAGCTGCAGTCTCTAATGCAGGGGTTTCAAACTCATTTTTGCCACGGGCCACATTGTAATTACGGTTTCCCTTTGAGGGCCGCGATGAATTTTGGGAAACCATATAACTGTTTAATCACCTCCACATATTGCATACACAGCGCACAACAAATTGATGGTTAACCAGTTTTAAAATCTGAAGTCAAGAATAATGACTGTTATTGTGGATGACAAACAACAATGTGAAATTTTGGTTCAGACTTTAACAAGCATCATGGAACTTGACATGCTTGATTTGATTTCACGGGCCACACAAAATGATGTGGCGGGCCAGATCTGGCCCCCCGGCCTTGACTTTGACACCTGTGCTTTAATGTGAACCAATACAACAACTACTGTATGTGATTATTATTCTTAGGTGTTGTAAATCTTGTATACGTGTGAATATACTCACTATTTGGCAAGTTTAAACGACTTTATATGTGTTACTCCCGGTCAACCAGACAACTATCAGTTACAAGAGGCAAATGATTTACCTGATTGTAAAGTGTAATATACACATTTAACAATTCATTACTGACATATGCGGCTAACAGAGTTGGGCTCACTATTTGGCAAGCGTTAGGGCAGTCTAAGAGCCTAGTAAGTCTTCATGAAGCGATGGCGAGCCGCTTTAAAAGGATACATTTATCATAAACTGGTCACAGAGGGATGGTTATCGAATTATTAAAATCAGCTTGACGATAATAGAAACAGTATTGTTACATTAACACATATTGGACAGTGTCTTTCAAACGTGAGCAGGATTATGACTGTAAAAAATAAAAAGCTCTTGAATTGGATCACATTAATGCTTTTCAAACTGCGAGCGCTTTGGGGGAGGCACAGCAACATGAGGAAAAATAATGAAAATGCATATTCCCCGCCCCCAAACATTTTAAAATAGCTTCAGCTACATTGGTGAGAATAATTTGAAATAAACACCCTGGAACTAAAGAGGGAGCTCATTTTAGGATGCATATTTTTGGTATGAATCAGCCTCGTTAAACCAATACTTTCTCGGAAAGTGTGAATTTCAAGTGGACAAAACTAGGAAGCCATTGCAACCTCGACAACAGTAAGAGGAGGGAAAATATAAAATTTGGACTGGATTCTCTGTCTGGGTGTATCGCAATAAATAAGAATGTCATAGAAAAGTCCGTTTACTTCAGGAGTTCAATTAAAAAAGTGAAAAGCGTCATGCATTCAAACATGGGAAAACACTTTTGAAAAGACTTTGTCATTTCTTGTGATATTAACCCTCTCATGACCCCTGTAACCTGATGATAACCTGAGAAGCTGTCCACTGTAGTAATCGCTGTCCCTGAAAGGGTTAATTTGGGAGTTTAAGTCCGCTGTAAAATCTAGTCATCCATATTATCAAAATGTTCAATCGTGTACAGAAAATCGGAGTCTCACGGTTTTTAACTGAACTGCTGAAAACAACATTTCTACAATTGTAATTAAAATTAAGATTCAAATTTAAATAGCTTGGAGGACAATGAGAGTCCCACTCCGAATTCGATTTTGCGGGTCTATTCTTATGCAGTGGCTTCATAACCATACCAAACTATCATTTGTACAATACATGTTTGACATTTTCCACATTCATCCAGCTCCAGCAGACCCCCTGAGGTAGAGTTAATGCAGGCCAAGAAGTTAATACGTTTGCACACAAGAGCACGTTGAACTGCCTCCATGCACATTTTTACACTGTTGATTTTTTTTAACCTGTTCAAATGAATTCACAATAATATTTTTTTTTTGTCCATATCATGATCGATTTAGCAGACTGAATAAACTGGGGGGAGGGGCGGGGCTAACAATTCAAATGCTTGTCACAATTCAATTTCACACTGTGGTCACTGTGCGTGTAACCCCAATAATATCGTCTCAAGCTTCACCTTGCAAAAAGTGGTTAAAAAAATGGACAGCCAGAGACAAAACAAGACAACCAAATGCGCATGTAAAAGAAGCAAAATACTGCATGTTGAGTTAGTGCAGAAGCTGCAGTGTATTAGTCTGTTAGTAGGGCACAGGTGGTTATTGTAGCTCAGCCTGGTCCCGACGGGCCAGAACGATCGGCCTCGCGTGCCCTTTGCATCAATGCGTGCGTGTGCGTGTGTGATTCCCTTATGTGTAGGAATGAAGGCATTCCTTGGAGCGTGACGTGATGTCCTGCAGCTCCTGCTCCTCTTTCATTTTGATGTCTTGGTAGGCATGCATTTGACTGGCGTCCTTAAGGTAGGCCCAGTTAGCCGAGAGAATCATGAGGAAGTGGATCTGCAAGAGAAGGGTGAAGGCGGATGGCAGGTGAGCAGGTCAAAGAGAAGAGGGCAAAGCAAAAGTTAGTAAAAAGGAGTCCCAAACTACAGCGCAGTGGACATCTACTCATATCACAAATAGCAAAAACTCCCAAAATAAGTGACAGCCTTTATAGTTGCATTGCAAGAAAAACAAAACACGCGCACACACGCATACTGCACATATACATATACGCGTGTGTGTGCGCGCGATAGACCCTTTTCGCAGTGACGTCAAAACACTTCAGAGCGTTTTGCGGTGTGGCGAGACATAAACAAATATAAAAAGGTCAAGTGAGATTCATCGTGGTTTTTTTTTGTGGCGAGTCAAGCCACAAGTGGCGATAAATGGGTCCTTCGTATCCACGGTGACTGCCCGGGAGGAGTTCATGAAAGTGTGAGCTGAAGAATTTGTAAAATCGCTCAATTCTTGGTTCCACTTTGGTTCGAGAGGCTTTTCTGTGAGTCCCGGCTCAGTGTCGTTAGTCAAACTGGTGTCGGAGGCTAATTGCTTGAAATTTTTTGTGGATCCCTGAAATGATCATCAAAGTTTGACGCCGCATATTCTGCCCACACTTGATAGTTTAAACAAACAAAAAAAAGCTTTGGAATTTATGGTTGGCCATTTGTGTTGGATGTCGTTCAGCTTTGGGAGCAGCCAAGTTTGTTTTTGAAAGACCCACCAAAATGACCTCTTCAAACCAAATTGGCCAACTTCTTGTTTCTTTTGCAACATTTTTGGAGATTTTTTTTTTTTTTTAATCATGCGGGCTGCTTGTCTCCCGGAATTTGTGGTTATCCGACATACTGGTGGAAGAGACGTTTTTCATAACCTCGTTTTTTTTTAATTTGTGCTGCCACAACGACCCAAAACATGTTTTTGCTCTGAAATGTCACCACTCTCTGCCAATTAATCTCACTTTATTTTTCACCATTCATTTATTCACGCTCAAAGTTACAGATTAAAAGTGAAACTCGGAAGTGGTCTGACATCAAAACGGGTCAATATTTTTTTTGTCAGGTGGTGCTCCATAATAAAAATTAAAACACTACAGGAATGAGTTTTTAATTGCATGCGGGTGAGGAGAAAAAGAAAGCAAGAGTTTGCAAGCTTTTGGAGGTTAGTGTAAAAAGTCGCTTCAACACATTTTCATCACGATTGAAAAGAATGAAACAAGGTAAGATTTCTTTAAACAAAAATGGTTTATTTTATATAGAACGTAAAGGCTACAGTCTTCAAAGAAAAAAAATACGTGGGACGTAATTAAATAAAATAAAGAAAATTGTAAGTGACCATAAACAGACGTTTAAGCATGCAGCCTAGTGTTAAGATTTGTTTTTTTAATGGCTCTTTAATGGCACTTGGAGAGGAAATGAAGGACAAAAATGTCTCGCGGAGGCAAAACCAGCATCTGCGCTTATGTAGAAAAAAAGACAGTAACTCGATTTACTGAAAATAATAATAGTAAGGAGAAGGCGTTTTAGGGCCACGCTGAAACAAACAAAATACGACGAGAATTAAGTTGTGAAGTCAAAAGAAATCCAACTCTAATTTGTTTTTTAAATTGTGTTCTATTTTTTTTTGTTGTTTAAAAAAAAAAGTCATAATCGTGAGGGAATGTTTTTTTTTTTTAGGGAAAATGTTATGAGAATTTTTTTTTTTAAAGAATAAAATTGGGTTTATGAGAACACATTGTAAGAAAGAGAATAAGAATAAGTACAGCAAGAACAAGAATAAAGTTGGAACATTACGAGGAAAAAAAATCTGAATAAAAAAGTAATTTTATGAAAATGAACTAATTTATGAGAATAAAGTTGTAATATTATGAGGAAAACAAATAGTCGTGTTACATCCATTAAAATAACAATTTTACAAGGAAAAAGTAATTTGTAGGCCTAATGTTTGCAAAATAAAGAATGGATTTATGCAAAAAAACGTATTTTTATACAAGTTGTCAAATATGTAATTGTTTTTGATAAATATTAATGTTCACATATTGAAAGTACTGACAACAACTCTTTTAATGTTGCAACTTATTTTTCCAATAACAATGAATTTTTCTTGGAATATTAAAAATTATATTATCAATTTCTTACCAACTCTGACTTTTTTGAACAAAAAATAAAATAAAATGCGTTGCTTTCAACAATCTGCCTTTTTTTTCCTCACAATATTCTCATATGAATCCAGCTCTTTCTCCCCCATAGTTTTACCAATTATTTTCTTTTCAGTGTGGCTCTAATACGACATGAAAACGTGACTTATACCAGATATGAGCCCTTGTGTGCTCGATGTAAACTATACAAGGCGCAAGTGCTCACGTGACAACTTTAAGGCCTTCAAATTAATCACGTCTGATATTAAGTAAACCATTTCAATGATTTGCACTTATATATTGTGTTGCATTTGATCGGATCCAATGATGTCGAGTGAATACTGATGACTAAATACTGTCCTCTCTTTGAGCATGTGAATTGAAGAAGATAAATAATACTGGTGCGGTTTTCTAGGCGTGCATGTGGCGAGAAAATCAGGTGACATCATCTAGAAGTGAGTGGGCCAAGCTAGTCATCTAAACGCTCCATTCTTAATAACAAGTGTCATTAGGCATCCTCGCGAGAAATTTAAAAAAAAGGAAGAAAAAAAAACGCACAATCAGCAATTTACATTTTGTTCTACGAGAGATTTCCTGTCTATTGTTTTTAGTTGTTTTTTTGGGCGGCGAGCGCCCGCGCTGTTGTTAAAAACAACAATAACAACAACAACAACCAAAAAAAAAAGAAAATGAAGTTAAAACTTAGTGCAGCAGTCTTCTCGACTCTTAAACTTCAAAACGGCAAAGTTATAAGTGGTAGCCATCATGTAGATCAGCTGGTGGAAGAGAACAAGAGAAGGTGGTGAGAGAACATGCCGGCGTACTTGGAGCGCTTCATTAAAAAAAAAAAAAAAAAAAAGTCACCTCACAAAGGCAATGACAAAAAAAAAAATAAAAAAATTAACCCAGCAAAATACTTAACATGAACTTTAATATAAGTTGGAGTATAGAGTCTTACTGCTTTTATTATGCATCTTATCATGTTCTTCTCTTAATGGCCCTAAGTGGCTGCTCCTCAATTTGAAGTATGATTCAAAAAAAATAAAAATAAAGATAAAAATAATTGCATGAAATAATTTTCTCAGTGCAAGAGTAAAGATTAACACCACAATGTAATGTTTCCAAAAACCTGTCCAGGCATGAGTAATACTTTCTACAACAAACCGTTTTTTTTAAATTTTGTTTTATAGCCATGACTAATATTTTCCTTTCTGGCTAAACATCACTGATACTTGTCTTGGTTCAGGTTCTAGATTCCTGTTTTTTGGATCATATTTTCTTGAAACTTGAGTGGTTCCATTGCCAAGCGTTAAATGTAGTTGTGCTTTTCTACAATTTCCCACAAAGTTCTCTTAAGTGCGCATTGCTAGCATATTTGCAGAGGGATGGCTAAAATGGAATGAAGAGGAACTGCAACATTTACACGTAACACATTTTGTGTCAAGGCTTTCCTTACCAGAGCTATCACAGTGGCTCCGGCTCCGGCACAGGCAACGATGTACAAGTGATATGACAGGTAGAACTGAAAAAAAGCAGAAAACACAGTTTGAATAAAAATGTTAACCGTAATAAGAATGTTCTGACAAATGCCCCAGTAGCATTGTAAAACCTTTTATTTTTGTAAGGTCTATCAAATCCATTCATGTTTGGGCCGTGCTATTAATATCCATCCATCCATTTATTTTCTATACTGCTTCTCACCTCGCTGGTGTTACAGATGTCACCTAACGTGGATCCACAGGCCTTCCCCGGTGTTGCGCTCCATGGGATGATTCCTGAAATCGTAAGTTACAAGTTATTTTGAAAGTCTGAAATTAACACTCACATTTCAACACATTTTATAAACTTGAAACTGCTGAGTTAAAATTTTAAATCATATTCCAAACTCGGTGGAGGTCTTTTGGCACAACTGTGCTCCCATATTTGTCAAGATGGCTGCCCTGATTTACCGTATTGACGAACGTCCACGCAGATGGAGTCGATGTCGGTGAGGTTGGACACGGACGACTTCATGGTGGCGCAGGTGGACCACATGTTGTAGAAGAGGAAGACGGGCACGGCGGAGAAGCCGAATACGCCGAGCCAGGCCACGCCCAGAATGTAGGTGAGGAACACAAACTGAGGACACACACAGACAACATAAGAAATGGTCACATATTTGCTTTAGTGTGTCTGCAGGCTCAGAGGCTATAAAACCACGTTTGCTCCATCTCATCTAAACAAGTCGTACCTTTTACGTGGGAATTAGCTTCATATTGTTTCCTTCTATCCTTAAAAAGACCTGATTGAGATCTTCATATGTTTTGGAACTATGAGGTGTGCTGGACTTTCCCACAATTCATCTTTCCTCTGCACACTCAATAACTCCCAACAATCAGCTGCGACATGCCGACGGGCTGTTTACAAAAATACCATTCCGCTGATGCAGCGCCCGCAGATGGTGGTCTTGAACTCGCTGTGCAGTTCCTTGACGGCGCTGGTGGTGTAGAAGCCCTCGGCCAGCAGGATGATGCCGTACAGGAAGAAGAAGGAGGCGATGCCGTAAATGACGTACTGCATCAGTTGTATTCTGAAACGAGACGAGAACAACTCTTGGTCCAAGGGTAGAGAGAAACTTGACGATGATGTTCCTGGAGGAGATGGATGAACTTTGCAAATCAACAGAGGCCTCTAAAATCACCAAACATGCTCAGTTCTTTGTGTGTCATGTCATTCCTCTTTTATTGCAGAGGCTAATGGACGCTTTTGTAACAAGGTCCATATTAGGACAGCTCTGGTCCAGCATTTGGAAAACACAGCGGACTAAAAATAACCAGAATGAAGTCATTCAAAGGGTTTGCTTCTCATACATTTGGCCTTCTGTGATCCCGGCTGAGGAACATGACATCACACACTGTGGATTCAAATATTGACGTGCAGTTCTAAATCAATTCATTAACCAATCAGGAGTTGAGCAAGACCCGTGGATCTTAACTTGTCATCTGAAGAGCAAAGACAGTTTGGGGAAACACGCTTCCAACTTTGTGGAAACGCTTCGAAAGACACTCTTCTGTTCCAGCATGAAGTCATGCTGCTTTCACGAAAACTGGACAATCGGAAACATCCTGTCCAAGGCCTGATATTGGAGCGTGTCGGAGGAAGTCAAACAAACAACAAAACATGACTTTTGGACTTGTTTTGTTTTTTTGTAGTTGAATGGGTTGCAATGAATCCATTCCCAGTATCTCTTAACCTGATTAAGGTCACAGGTGAGCTACAGACCATCCCGATGTGACGTGGAAGAACTTGACTCAACCCTATAAAGACTTTTGGGATGAACTACAACAAAGATTCGACCCTTTCTCAGGTTCAAAATTAAAACATCTAACCGAAAAATGTTCATAATATTCAACAAAAAACATATTTGCATATGTTTTGTATTTAATAAACTGAAATGGGTTCCTGACAGAAGAAAGGAACCTCGCAAGTGGGAACCTACTTCATATTTTCTACCATTCACAACCCCTATCAGTGCAATTTCCAGGTGTCCCAAAATGATTTTAATATAGGAATTTGAAATTTGTATTTTCCCGCGTGTTAACTGAATCTGCGTATGCATAACTGCTAAAATGATTAACTTTCCTGTTCAACTCAAATTTTCTCATAGAGCACTCCAAAATCAACCACAGATGAATCAATATGGAGTTCATGAATAACCATCCAATAATTGAGCATAAAATATTTTTAAAACAATTCAACAATCATTTCATTGAAAAAAAAACAGGAAAAAAAGGACAAAGTCTAATACTGAGTTGCCAGCCAAGAGTTATACTGTATGCTCCCTCGTATGTGTTCCAGTTAAGAGGTGAGCATTTTAAACCAACTGGAGAGCCTGGCTGAACTCCAAAGTTTAAGTCATGAGTTCCTGTTTCAAAGGATAGCTGTGCATTATTCCACTTACATGTCGGTGAGCATGGCGTGATCACTGGCGACCTTGGAGAAGTGACTTTCAAGGATGCTGACGGTTCCCGTGAGCGCCACGTGACCGCAGCCGCAGAAGAGGGCCACGCCTGAGAAGCACAAGATGGTCGCCACCAGCGACGCGTACGGCACGCCGCCTAAACATTTGATGCAGCACTCGAAGCAACCTGCATACAAAGCAAAAGCAGAGAATAGCAGTCAGAAAAAAAAACGTCATTCACTTCATAATGAAGAATGCATAACCCCAAAAAAATCAATCCGATCTAGGCTATTAGTGTCGGGAATTGGGGGAAAATATGTTCATTTTCCCGTATTTAAGGGCAGGTTCTGGGCATCACGCCCTCCTCACGAGTGGTCGCGTGAAGCCGCAATCACATGCAAACCAAACGACCGTGCTTGTGTTTTCCATTTCCTGCGCGCATGTGTGCATGACAGGATGTTGTCGTCTTCGACGTCCTGCTTATGTTTGAAAGCGTGCGTGCATCCAAATGCACTAAAGATGCTTCGCGATGACATCACCGATGTGCAGTACAACATATGCCTCATCTGACCGCAACTTTCAGCATGCGTGTTTCTGCTTCCTTCTGCTATCAATTCCCCAAATTTTACTCTTGTTTTTTTCCATGAGGATTTGATAGTTGGAAGCTCAATGTCTTGAGTACATTTAAGCTGATATTCAACCACTGGAACTTTAACTCCACCGCTCATCCAGACTGTTTGTGTAGTCCGGGGTGATGGTAAAATATTTGTCCCAGGCTGGGAATCAGAGGCGTCTGAAAAGATGTGGGACAAAGTGTTCCGGGCTTTTCTGTTTTGCTGGAGCAAACAATCTGACAGGAAATACTAGCCGGGCTAAACATTTGCTTTCTTTGATGGAGAGCTCAAGGTATAGGATTTTCCTTTGCAAGGAAGAAGCAGAACTTCGAATCTGAGGAGAAACTAGAAGATGATCTACCAAGAAAATGCGAATACCAGCAAATGTGGAGTCATACACACCCCAAAAAGAAAAAAAATACAGTGTATATATATATATATATATATATATATATATATATATATATATATATAGATAGATAATTTTTTTCCCCCAAACCTACTCACCTGGTAACTGTGAATTTTGAGCGGATTGGGTTATAGTTATGTCCACCCATTGAAAATGTGAGTAATAAATTTTACTTAATCTAAAACGAAGCATTGTCAAAAAATCCCCTCAAACTACCGGTAACAAAAAGTAACAAACCCACTCTGAAAACTAATTAAAACTAAAGTTTAGTCATATAGTTTCAGCCTGGAAGGAATAAGTGCATACAAATTGTCTCCTGACTTCAGGGCAGCCACTTTAGCACACTTCCTGAACACACTTTCAATGTCTCTGATGGACACATACAGCATAGGGAAAAAGGTGCCAGGGCTCCACACAGGATATTGAGGCCAGCTACAAAGTTATTTGAGACCTTTGAAAGGAGGAAACGGTGCATCAATGAAGCGGGGCTGACTGTACATTGGCTGTGATCCATCAAGCACTCACAATGGGAAGCAAATGTGTCGACATGGATGGATATTACGATGGATCTTTTATTAAATATAAGCTTGATTTGAAATATTCCCCACATGAGTGTTTTTATATGGAAATGCAAATAATAAGTACTGATGGAAATATAAAGTTTCTATGAGACTTCAGAAATGTATAAAGAGTGGATTTTTTAAAGTGGATCACTTTAAAAATAATTAATAAATAAATAAATTTTAAAAAAGACCCACATTTTCCCCCAAATTCTCCCCGTCTCCCCAGGGGGTAAAGAAGAAGAGGACAATGGGAAAAATGAGCTTGGTCCAACTCCTGAAGGAGTATTTTACCACAGCTTGTAAGTGTGGAGACTTCAAAAGTGTGCAACCAGTTTTCTCCAACACGAACAGGGGAAAACAGTGAAGTGATGCGTGCATACAATTTGGGAATTTCTGTCACACTGATTAGTGCGTATGGAAGATACAAAGACATAATCTATTGGATGGTAGAATGCAAATCTCTACCTTCGGGCAAATTCATACCTTGTATTTAATACATGGCTACAAGCCACTAACACTAACAGTTTGTGAAGACAATATAAACCTCCCAAACACAGTCTGCAGGAGACATGAAGTCAGCTTTTACGCTGCGATACGCTGCCCGGAACGACTTCAATATAGAAGCATGCCAAGGCATTGATGTCCTGAAATTACAGTATTTGGTACGGTGAGGTTTATTTTTAAGTTGACTTTCTCACCATGTTAGTGGCGTGTTACTGTCATGTATAGCATGAACTTTGTTTGCTGCGGTTGGCTTGACTGCTATTTCTTGACATTCAGGTAAATAAGCGGGTACTCGAGGCGGAAAAAAAATGCCTTGGGAACAAGGTATTCAAATTACTCGTGCCTTTTTTAGGTCAAGCACTCAAATTCTTTCGATGCTCATTAGTGAGGTGTAAAACAAGATTAAATGTGTCTTTCAACATGTGGAGGAGACATGTCAGCTCCTCTGCAATCAGTGTGTGTGACACACACGTTTAAAACATCAGCCATGCGCCTCGCAAAGGTGGCCCATGCCAGCCCTTCCCCTTTCTGGAGTGAACATTTGAGGAGACGCACATTTACAAGCTGTCCTACACAAATACTGTTCTCAGCCCTAGAGTCAAATCAAATCCATACTGCAGATGGCCTACACAGCTGTGTGAATTTGACAAAGATATATGTTCATAATATACGTGGAAAAACCTACTAAACTGCTGTTGGCTGCACAAAATGGCCCCCGTGAACACGAACAAATGTAACCACAAGCCTGTAGTCTTCCTTATACTGTACATAGGGTTTCTTAGTTGTGGTCAAAAGTTTCAAACAACCAATACTCTTCAAAGTAAAGAATCTCACTGTAAAAAGTACACGCACATGGTGAGCATACATAAAGTTCTGACCACTACGTTATGTTGACAGCGCAAGATACCGGGAACTGTGCCAAATATACCGGAAAACAAAAAAACAGCACAAATTGGAAAGAGTCTGGCTCAAAAATATGCTTCTAACATTTCAAAGAACTTTGAACTGCCCTGATGTAAAATTGTATGAGACAGGAGATCTAAGTTCAGTGTTTCTTTTGCTTTTTCTTTGGCTTTTTTGCGCGATGAAGCAACCTCAACGGGGAATGTTAAGAATACAAGAAATGAAGAGATGAAGCAAATGTTTTGCATAAACTTTTCATCACATCAGGGGTGGAGCATTGTCCACAATATCACGTGTTGCCTTTGTGTTTATATGACTATTGTACTGTATATATGGTTTCTCATCAAGTTTGACAGCTAACAAATCCCGTGGGCGATAATCAAAATCACGTTGGCAACTTTTTTCCCCCTCCGTCTTTGATGACTTTCACATGGTTCCGAGATCGCCGCTGCACAGCCCTCCTGCTCGGGTTTAGATGCGTGGAGGCGGCAGGAGGATGAGGAGGAGGAGGAGAAGGGGCAGACAACTTGTTTGTGTTGAGCTTTCATTTGTCACGCTGGCATCACAAGGAGAGAGATACTTGTGAGTGTCAGTGTGTGAGAGAAACGGAAAAAAAAAAAAAAAGAACAGAGGCAGAGGCCAAGAAGTTTGAAAACAAAGACCCGTCTGTGTGGGACTCTCCGCTCTCCATCACGTCCAGTTCATTCAGAGCTCCACTGAGAACCACAGCGAGGCCTTTTCCGGCCAACCGCTGGGCTCCAACCCGAGTTGAACATGCAGCGCTTGGCCTCAAGGGACCACTTCACACTTCCCCAAAAAAGTGCCTCCAACGTGGAAGGAGGATGACTCAGAAGGGTAGCTTTGCTTTATCTCACAGAGATCACGCAGGAACAATCCTACAGCTGGATACCCCCCTTCCTTATATAAACCCTCTCCTCTACATCCATCCATTCATCACTACCAACCACAACATGACTACGGGCTGTCATCACTGTAAAGCCAAAAACCTTTCAACAGCTGGGAAATGTAAATAAACGGCACCCTCGGGATTATAACACGATCCAGCCATCCATTTTCTACAGTGCTTGTCCTCATTAAGGTGAGCTGGAGCCTTGCTCAGCTGACTTTTAGTAAGCAGCACGGTACACCCTGTACTGGTCACCAATCAAATGCAATCACATTTCCACTGATGGACAATTAACATTTGTTCATTTTCATTTTTAATAGAGAGGAGAAAACCCACACATGCACGGAGATTATTGAGATTCGAACCCAGACCTTAGACTGACTATTTCGACGCATCCAGCAGAGGTGTTGGTGATTCAGTGACCTTTTTGTTTCGTGGGACATTGATCTGACTATAATAGCAGTGAAAGGAAATATCGTGCTTTCTTTAAGGAGGAACCCAGGGACAGCAAAAACAATGAAATCATCATGGGCCCCAGAATTGAACCCTGGGGAACCCCATACTAAAGGGTTGCTGCTGCCGTGTTTGTATTCCTCAACAAGTTTGTGGAGCACAAAGTAATACGCAGTGTTAATATAAAAAGTGAGGTAATATACATTGGTATCTTAACATACACATTTTTCTGTGTGACTCAGGTTTTTATCTGAAGATCTGTAGATTTACTTTTTATGTTTTATTGGACTGTCATGTAAAACTTATTTGGATATCATCCGTAAGGAGCCCCCGCGTAGGCTGGTATCACTGTAAAAAAAAAAAATAAACACCATCCACATTCTAATCTGACGTGTAGCCCTCATTACTAACAGATGTGTCTGTTTACAGCTCACTATTGTTTGCTAGTGCTCTGACGGCAGAGCTGCCAAAACACTAACATATCTCTGAGTTTTATTTTCCAGACTCGCTCCACTTTGAGGGCAACCATTAAAAGAGCCATGATGGCCTCTAATGGCCTCCGTCCAGAGACGAGGCCAGTCTGAGTAAGGGGAAATTTGTCAAAAGTGGCCTCCTTGTTTACTTTGCTGAAACGGCAAGCACGAGTTGACCGTTGATAGTCGCTGACTGCACCTCATCCATCCACAGCTGAACACTCAACAATAAAAATGGATTAAAGGCATCGGCAAAATCTACAAATAAATCGAGGACAATGGCAACAATGTGCAGTGGGTGAGGTTTTAATGCGCCATTATTGTGGTTGCAGATCCCTGCACTGCAAGTTTCTAATATTTG